TTATAGATTATAGAAAGCTTAATATGCTTACCAAAAAGAATTGATATTCACTTCTATTAGCTATAGAATTAAAAAATTAATTAAACAAAACTATTATATTTATTAAAATAAATCTGCGTAATAAATATTATTTAATTAGAATAAAAGAAGATGAGGAATAAAAAATCGCTTTCAAAATAAGATATAGGCTATATAAGTATCAAATTATATTGTTTAGGTTAATTAATATATTAATTACTTTTATGAGATTTATAAACAATATATTATTATTATATTTAAATATTTATTGTATATACTATTTAAACAATATTCTAATATATTCAAATAATAAGAGCTAATATATCAAAAATATTAGTAACATTTTTGAAAGTTTAATTAAAATAGATTTACTATATAAACTAAATAAATATGAATTCCATATTATAAAAACAAAATTTCTCAAATTCATTGTATCAAGCCAAAGGTTCAAAATAAGCAAAAATAAGGTCAAAGTAGTGTTTAAATAGAAATAATTAAATACAATTAAGAAGTTATAATCCTTTTTAAAATTCATTAACTTTTATTAAAGATTTATTAAAAATTATTCAGAAATTATAATATCCTTAATTAATTTAATTAAAAAAAATCAAGAAAATTTTGAATAGATTGTCAAAATATAAAAGATATTTGATATATTCAAATAAATAATAATAAAGGAGCTAATACTATTAACATTCGATTTAAAAAAACTAATCATAATAGAAATCGACTTTTTTAATTTTACTATAAGAATAATTCTAAGCCAACCGGATTAAAATAAAAAATATTAATTAATTATATTTTATTTATAAAAACTATTACTAGTTAAATTGAATTATAAAATATATAATAAAGAATTACTAACTATAATAAATATATTTAGAAAATAACGAATATACTTAAAAGAATCGAAATATATAATATAAATATATATAGATTATAAGAATTTGGTTTACTTTATTATAATAAAATAATTAAATAAATAATAGATTAGATAATTAGAAATTATAGCTAATTACAATTTTAAGATTTCATATATTAAAGAATTAGAAAACACTAGAGCTAATATTTTTAGCCAAAAATCAGAATATTAAAAGAATAAATTATATAAATCATACACTATATTCAAAAAAAAAAAGATAAATCACTAATTTATAATATATTACAATTTATAGTTATATATATATTAGAAAACAATTATTTTAGAATCTAAATTTAATTATATTACAATAAGAATACTATAATTATATATATATGCAAAATAATAGAATTAGGATTTATAATAGAAAACAAAACTATATATTTTTATAGAAAAGTATACATTCTGAATCAAATAATTAAGGAATTTGTAATAAAATAATATAGATTGTTAATATATAAATATTAAGGAATTACAAGAATATTTATAAGAATATAGGAAATCAGTTATTTCTTATAAATAAGAACAATAATTAAAGAAGTTGTTAGAAATTGTAATATTTGTATATAAAATAAATTATTGCAATATACTCTATATAATTAATTTTAGATTCTAAATATATCTTCTCAACCATAAAAATCAATTATATAGAATTTTATAATTAAACTATTATTTTCAAAAAAATTTATTATAAAAATTGAATATAATATAATATTTAATATAATAAATAAACTAATGAAATTTGCTTATATAATATTATTCAAAAAAATATGGAATATTAAATAATTAGTATATATATTTCTAAGAGATATAATAAATATACATAAAATATTAAATAAGATAATCTCAGATTGAAATAAGCTTTTTATCTCGAAATTCTGAATTACCTTATTAATATTTATAAATATCAAAAAAAAACTATTAATATCTTTCCATCTATAAATAAATAATCAAATAAAAAGAATCAATCAAATAATAAAAGCATATCTTAAATATTATATAAATTATTAATAAAATAATTGGATAGAGCTATTACCTATAGCACAATTCGCATACAATACATCGAAAATAGAAATTACAAAAATCATATTAATATAGACTAATTTTGGATTTAATCCATAAATATATAGAATTCCAATATTACAAAAAGTTAATACTAAATCAATAATAATATAAGTTGAATAACTAAAAGATTTTCAAAAACAATTAGCTTTTAATTTAAGATTTATATCTTTTAGAATAATAATATATTATAATATAAAATATAATATAAAATCTATATTTAAAAAAGGGAATAAAATTTATTTATTATAATGAAATATCAAAACTAAAAGATTAAATAATAAATTTAATTATAGAAAATTAGAATTATTCAAAATTAATAAAATAATAGAAATAATTAATTATTAATTGAAATTATTAGATATAATAAATATCTATTTAATATTTTATATATTCTTACTCGAATTAATATTATTAGAAATGCCAAATATATTATTTATAGAAATTGAATTAATTAATTTAAATATTATATATAATATTGAAATAATACTAAATTACAAATATATTAGAAATAAGGTTAAATATTTGATCAAATGATTAGATTATCTATATTTAGAAAACATATGGGAACTCAAGGAAAATCTCAACTGCTTTAAGAAACTATAAGTATTCTATTTGAAGTACTCATATCTATTAATAAAGCCTTAAGTTTTATATTAAATAGTAAATATAATAAGGGATTAAAAAAACCAAAAAAAGAATTACTAGGAATAAATATAATAATAATGATTATTGCTTTTTTCTCTATATATTCCTTTTCCAATTTTTTCTTTTTTAATCTTTTATTCTTCTTAATTAAATTAAGCTCTTCTAATATATAAAGATTTTAATAAATTATCTTTTTTTTATATTTATAAAGAAATTCTTATTGTTTATACAATTAAAGAATTCAGGTATTAATTTTCTATAATTAAACGAAAACCTTTTTTTTCTTTAAATATAGTAATTTCTATTATTATTTTAAAAATTCATAATTTATAGGCATTTTTGATCCAAAACAATAATAATCTTTTTTATAATAAATACACTCAATATAACATTATAATAAACTATTATCAATAATATAATAATAATTGAATTTAATACATAAATTACAAGAATCTTTTTTAATATCAGAATGCTCAATATAGTAAACCAATTAAGAATATTATAAATAAAAACTATTTATATAGAAGGTATATTAAATAAAAAAAATACTATAATTATTTAAATAGATAAAAGGGAAGATATATTAATATAAACACTTAGAATAAATATTAAACTAAAAAAAGAATAGTATTACAACAAATTAATAACAGACTATAGAATTATTAACTTATAGGCTATAATAATATTATAGGCCTTAGTGATTTAGTTATAGTATATTAGGGGATATTAGATATTTAAGGAAAGCCTTAGATATATATATAATATTAATTATAGAATACTCTAGAAACCTAAAATATAATTTCTAGAACAATAGATTCTAGGAAAAATAGAACATAATAAACAAAAAGGCTTTATTAAAATTAATAATATCCCAAAGAATTAATTCCAGAATAAAAGAATAAATTAAAATAATAGAAATTATAGAATAAATATTATATAATCAAAAGTTGATTGATTTATCTATTAACTTACTAATCGATTTATTGATTAATTTCAATACAAAGATTTATATAGAGAATAGATTTTATTATAATATAGAGCTTTGTATTTAAAAATAATTATTAGTTTTATTATTATAATTACAAGAATTGCAATTAGTTACAACCTTATTGAATTCCTACTTAAAGTCTAGTCTAAACCACTTTGAGAGATCTCTAGCTATTTCCACGTGACCCTAGAGGCAGCTCCCGTAACAGAAGTCTAGTCTAAACCATTTCGAGAGATCTCTAGATACTTCCATATGACCCTAGAGGCAGCCCCTGTAATAATATTATAGTATTAAGACTTTTCATTACTTCTCCTAAATTATAAAAATTATATAATTTATATATATATAAACTCTTTTTAATATAAGATAAGCTTAAAGGTCTATTATTATATATTCTATTAAACTCTATAATTTTACAATTATAAATTTATAGAAGTAAATCAAGTAATTATATACTCTATATATTATATAACTAGCCGTCTAGGAAAAAGAATTTGAAGTTTACGAATTCGTAGTGTTTCAAAATTATTATAATAATTAAAAAGAAAAAAGAAATTCTATGAATCCGTAGTCTGAAAATTCTTTTTCCCCGACGACTAGTTTAATGATTTAATAATTTAAATTTAAGTATAGTAAGGATTAGGGACTTAAAAACTAGCCCCTATATATATTATTTTATAATAAAATTAAAATTAGAATTAGAATTTATATATAATACTAATCATAAGAAAAAAAAGAATTCGAAATCTATAAATTTATAGGGTTTCAAAATTATTACAATAATTAAAAAGAAAAAAAGAAATTCTATGAATCTATAATCTGAAAATTCCTTTTCCTCAACAGCTAGTATAATTATTTTTAAATGATCTCGAAAATTAAAATTGAAATTCAATATAATAAATTTCGAATCAATATATATATAATAATAAAATTATTACTCATTGATACCTCAAATATTAGGCCTTATGACTAATTAAACCTAAACTAATATCTTGAATATTAAAGGAGATATTTAAGATTGTATATTGGATTAAAAGTTTTATTTTAATATATATACACCTCCAAATTCTAAATACGTTTTTAGCTCAGGCAGGATTCTATTTTTGGTGTATTGGCAAAACGGTCCTTATAGGCCTCGGTAATTTGGCTTGCAAGGTTATCCATGGATCCTTTTCTACTCGTATACGAACTCGAAAAAGAAACAAAATTACAAATGTATTCGATCGTCTATGTATCTCGTATCTCCTCTCCTTTCTCAAAAATTATAAAAGTCATGTAACCCAGAAGCTCCCTTAACAGATGATTATCAATATTTTCCTTTGAACCATCTCTCTCGCTCTTTTCTCCACCATCAATTGTTACACCATGTCCAATGCCGAGGCCTGGAAAAGACGTTCCATATACCAAGTGCTCACCGACAGATTTGCCATAGAAGATGAGAATAATCCAAATAGAGGCCCAGATCCTGGGATAAGAGAATATTGTGGTGGAACATGGAGGGGAATAATATCTAAACTTGATTATATCCAAGGAATGGGTTTTGATGCAGTTTGGATTTCACCCGTTTGTTTTTTTGCCTCATCGGTGTTCTAATTGCATTTACTAACGATTCCATACAGATCACTAAGAACATCGAAGAATTGACTGAATATGGAGTTGCCTATCATGGTTATTGGCCGGAGGATATTTATTCAGTAAATCCACATTTTGGAACGGCTGATGATTTACTCGCTCTATCGGATGCCTTGCACGCTCGGGGTATGTTTCTGATGGTTGATATAGTTGTCAATCATATGGGTTCACCTCCTACAGTGGAATATTCTAGATACATACCTTTTAATGATTCATCGTACTATCATCCACAGTCATTCATCACAAATTACGAAAATCAGCAGCAAAGCGAGGAAGGATGGTTGGGGGATGGACATGTACCATTACCCGATCTAAATACGGAGGATCCTACCGTGGTACTCACCCTCCAAGCTTGGATCACAAAACTTGTACAAAAGTTTAAAATTGATGGTTTGAGACTTGACACCGTCAAACATGTTAGGAAGAATTTCTGGCCCGATTTTATTCGGGCTGCTGGGGTTTGGTCGGTGGGTGAGGTATTATCAGGTGATCCTGACTACTTGAGCTCATATCAACCTTATGTTGGAGGCCTTCTAGACTATGGGACATATTATCCATTAAAGAGAGCCTTTCATAAGAATGGTGGAAGTATGTATGAGCTGACCAATCTCCTCACTCCTGCATATCGATCGAAATTCCGCGACACGCAGCAAATGTCAACTTTTATGGAGAATCATGATATGCCACGGTTTACCAGCGACACCAACGCGGACTTGGCGGTTGTAAAGAATGCTATGGCATGGACTTTACTTACCGATGGTGTACCAATTGTTTACTATGGACAGGAACAATCTTATTCTGGAGATGGTGATCCAGGCTCGCGAGAGCTGATGTGGACTTCCGATTATAAAATCACACCGTTATACCAATACATAGCACGATTGAACCAGATCAGAAAGCTGGGTTGGGATGCAGGATTTGGTACACATCTAACCACGAAGCTTTACATTGAAGACAATGTTGCTGCTACGCAAAAGGGCCCCGTGCTCATGGTGCTGACCAACCTAGGTAGCCAGGCCAGATCCAAAAACATCTCCATACCTACCATGTTCAAAAATGGTACCATATTAGTCGACATTCTTACGGGAGAATCTTTCAGAGTCAAACGATCGACGAACATCACCATAATATCTGGAGAACCTCGAATTTTTCTCCCTCTTGGTCTAGCAGAGAACATCTGTGATAATATTTTACCACCAGCTCAGAATGCCATATTCAAATTATTCTCCAAGATGTTTGGTGCCTCCTCTTCCTCAAAAACTGCCGCCGAAATCATAGATTGGCCATGTGGCGAATCGGTCAATTCCGCAGATATTATACTTAGCGAAAAAGATCCGGTTGTGGAACAGGCGGGAGCCAAGATATTGATGCCGAGCGTTCAGGAGAGTTCATCTCCGTGGTCTATATTCTATGCGGCTAGATAGTCAAGCAATCGAGTATACTTTGTTTTTCAAGTCACCAAGAATTTATAGATTAATCGTTCTAATTAGAAGATACCTTAGATCATGAGCTTTCTAACATCACTCAATATCATTCATTTTTTTCATGTCTCGACAAGTTGGCGGACCTTTTCTTTGCCCTTTTGCGTGCATAGAATCCATGCTTACAATAGAGATGATTAGCTGAAACACGAAGGGATACATACTGAGTCGGTTTGAGGAATGGATTGATATTTCAATGCGGTAGGGTACTTTTATCTAACTCTAAGTCCTTGTGTAACATGACGCCCAACATTTAGTTTGAGTAGAGATTATATTCTGAACTTCTCCCAAAGACAAAGAGCGATCAACTTTAAAAACGAAGGAAATAATACACCAGGCAAAAGACCAAAAACCCAATAAACGAAAGCATAGTAAATAAAGCCAAGACCTCGATGGTCGCAGAACTTGCTGTACCCCATTCAGACCACAATGTAAAAGGGAAAGCAACACTGAAGCCCAACGTTAAATAGACGATGAATACTATAAGTTACGTCAGCTATGTCAGTAGTACCCGAACAAGACGGTAAACGTACAGCCAGGAGTTATCGATATCCTTTTCAGCCCTTTGAGCCGCCCCACCGTCCGCTAGCTTTTTGTTTGAACCAGCCTTGGACAGACCCAACTCCTTCCTCACATATTCAAACAACAACGTGCCTACCTCAACACCAAATATCGAGCGGAATGTGTGGCGTAATTGGAGGAGGCTGGGAAGGTATGGGGTTGGATGGTGATGATGGATGATGATGAATGTTTTGAGAGGGGAGGACTGGGAATTTCGGGGGAGAGGGATTTGGGATTTGGGATTTGGGAATATTTTGGGAGAGGGGGGTTGGGGGATTGGGGACTGGAGATTTAGATTTGAATTTGAATTTGAATTTGAATTTGAATTTGAACTTGGGAGGTGGGTGAGCTGTGGTTGAATGAGGTGGGTATAGGAAAGCGAGAATTTGATGGTAGTTTCTTGGTCATAGGTTGTTGGTCGTGGGGTGGGATGGGATGGGTTGCATTGCGTTGCATAAGAATTGAGGGATGATGTGATTCATTCTGGGGTGTGGGTGTATTGTTGAGATGGGATTTTGAGGTAGGTAGGTAGATAGTGTTCGAGGAGGGGGAGGGAGAGGGGGTAGGGGGTTTGATTGAATTGAATTGCATTGCTTTGTATGCTCTTGATTCAATAGCGAATGGAGGAATGGGTAGACGAAAATTGTCTTGTTTGCAGAAGTTTGTTGCTGTTGATTGAGGGGCTTGTCGAGTATATATATATATGAGGTTTGATAATCAATATATATATGTATGTATTTTTCTCGCTCCGATGTTTTTCGTGTTGTGGACTTATTAACTGGCCATGTGAGTAAGGCTTTGATGATCAGAGTTCTGGGTGTTAATTTTGTTGTACTTTTTTTCGTTTCGTGGGTGTGGGAGATGTATGTTCTTTGTATGGGATTACCTAGGTAGTTAATCATTGAGATTTTTCTTTTCAAGATTGTAGGTTGAGGGATTTTGTTTTGTGGATTTCGGAGTCTGGTGGAATTGCTGTATGACCATGTATGAGTGATATGAGGGACGTGAATTTTCTTGCTTTTGTGACTTGAAGCTAGAGAGTTGTTGGCAAGGAAGTGTCGATGTGGGAAAACGATGTCTACGAGTAAGAGAATTGAAAATAATGAGGTTTGGTGGATTGATAAATCATCTAGTCAACGGACGGGGGCGGTGGCATTTTATTGAATGATATGAAACTGTCAGGTATTTCATTTATAGTTGAGGCTCTTCTGGTGCTTCTCTTCTCCTATCCCTCTTCAAGAATTAGGTAAGGCTTAAACGAGAATGGAAATGGAATCGGTTACGATGGCTTCACGATTTTTTAATCCTAAGGAACAGCATGCCGAATTGAGGAACAGATTTACTGTCTTTACCGCTTAAAACAGTAATGGATGTTCAAATATTCAAGATCGTGTTTCGAGTTGACAGATGGCAGTTGATTTATATAATGGATAGGCTTTGTCGGGGTATAATGGATATATCCTTTGGTTCATGGGTAAAGTTTCGGATGATACTTAATCGAGTGCAACGAGTGCAACGAGTATAGTTACAGATAGAATGGAGGTATGGATAGGTGACGGAGATGGAGGAGATGAGGTGTAGTGCAATTACGCGAGTAGCGCGACGCAAGAGTTCTGAGAGCTTTGGAAAGTCGGTTTGTGGCATGCAGAAAAGGATCATTTTGCTATTGCGCTTGGGCTTGCTTGATATATTTTCTTTTGTAGATATTGTGGTTCGGGGTTAGATATGAAAGATTGGTTCACCCGCATGCTGCCAACGGATAGTTAGCATCGTAGTGAAACATTTGGGTAGATATGAGAGACTGATGTGGATGTTTGCGTTTAGAGACCATTACGCACTATCACAGAAATCATAGCATTTCACGAGACACTGGCGAAATTATGTACAGGCGAAGTCACAATATAAGTCATTAAAATTACTTCTATTTGACATTTAATACCTATTGATGTTTCCTTGCTGTAACTGCTATTCGGGGATATCCAATAGAACGCTGCATCTGGGAAAAGACGTGATATGAGTTGTTATAACACCTCATCATCAGTGCTCGAGCTTCAGGATACATTTAGAGGTTTTTGTACGTGGGATCTAGTTGACGACTGGAGAGCTAGGATTGTGAGTGTCATGTGAGATGAGATTGGCTGTGCAGGCCACGAATGATCTCGTTGGAAATGATCGACGCGCATACACAGTAAAGACAAATGATAACGCTTGAATGAATTGACCTGTTACTGCCCTACCGCTTAACTTTCGATCGCCTCTGTACTCGTTGTATACTCTCCAGCTATATCCTCCGGCCGTCCGAAGCTTGTCGTAGTTCAGCCGTAGCAGACTTTATTGCTATAAAGGCAACTTCGTAGGATACTCGACTGGTAACAGATTTTCTTCTGGTCAAGTGCTGTTGCTTGATCCTTCGCTCTTCTTGTCTAAACAGTGGAAATACCTGCTCGTGCAGCTGTGGTGTTGCTAAGTTGTGTTCCTTCCGTTCGCGTAGTCCCTGTTTGGTATTTGCTTGTATGGTAGAGTTTAGATGTATCTTTTGAACGGTTGGCTTGCATTCTATTGCTAATAGCGCATCATTACTGGCATGCTTCTGATTCAGCTCACTGATAATAAAGTGTGCCAGTGGGTGTAAACCCCAGGCTACCCTTGTAGACTGGAGATCAGAGTCTTTGATGCTTGGCCAACGCTTCTGCGCGAGATGACTAGCAGTAAATGTGAACATCAACGCTTGTATCAAAGCGTGTGAAAGATGGCGGACTGCTCTGGAAGCGACGCTAAGGAGATATGCTACTCGTGCGCTGGATTTTGGTGGCGATGTGATATTCAGACCGATTGCTGTCTTCTCCCGCGTACATCAATAAATGGATATTGTCGAAGATGCAGAGGAGTTGTGAAGTGTAAACTTGTGGATATCTAGAACCACCGCTTGTATACCATAGTTGTCAAAGGAATAGCTTCGATATCTGCTGCAGAGCCATCATTACCGACCTCGAAGCTATGAATTCTCTGAACTTCAAAGTGCCATTCTCTATTGCCGCACATCTAATAACTATATTCGAAGATATGATCGGCATTGGGACCTCGCTATCAGGTGAACTAACTGCGGTGGGGAAAACTCGTCTTTCCCTGGCGCGTTTATTGACAGAGAATCTGGCGGGAAGACATCTGACTCTTTTGTAGCAATGCGCGATATTCGTAATATCTGCTGAGGTCGCTATGAATTGTGTCAGCCGCGTGCCAACGAAATCGCAGTCCAGCTTCGTGAAATCGATTCTCGATCCATTTGAGCCTGCTGGCATGGTAGGTACCAGAATTAGTTCGCTGTTCATCAAAGATCTACCAATTTATCTAATTCTCTGTTTAATTATTCTGCCTTCTAATAGAACAGCAGAAGCCAGGGGGGAACTTCGATGGGTCACCAGGACAGGTGATCGAGCTGCAGGTACGATAATTCTCTCTTCAAGGGTTTGCGTCTTGTCAAGACCAAAAAGATCACCGATTCGAGCCTCTCAAAGACTTCAGGTCTAGGTGACTGCTGTTTTGAAGCAATGACTTTGTAGTGATTCGGTATATGAGTAGATGGCGTGGGCTGGTCGCTTGGTATTCCGACGTCGGACAAAGTTTCGATATCAAAAGGTCTATAAATTCGGAGATTGAGACTTAGATACAGGATTTCTGTTACTAATACTTATTATTAGCTTCAGTTCGTTCCTGTAGATGCTTGGTGTCTATTGCTGCTAACGGAAAAAGCCTCTGCGAATAGCACGGATTGCGACTTACTGCTCATTTTGTGGGGTTGAATTTATCGGCGCTCGTAGATTTCAGAATCAAGAGAATGTCTTCTACTTGCGCTAGTATAGTGGTTAGTATAAATTAGTAAAGAACTGATGATAGGCACAAAGAGGGATCTGCCCCAGGACCAATGGCTATTTTCAACAGTGATGAAGACAATTCTAGACAGTCAACAACAAGCCAGATTGCAGAGATGACAGTATTTAGAGCAATGAAAGAGAAGAGGAACGTCAGTCAACCGACAGAAGCAAGCTACCAGTAACAACGTACATGCCAGATGGGACTGATGAGTGACTGTTGTAGAATGACGGTAGGAATGACTAGCTTGTACCAAAGAAGTGCTGGCAAGATGTTTGTAATGAATTTAGATTTGCTGTAGATGAGACCAGACTCAAGTCAAAAGAGTATTTTGGCATTCTGTTGCAGAACGATTAAGACAAAGTTCAGTCTTGTTGTGATAAGTCAATGGCAAAATTAAGCACTATATGCAAGTATTATAGACAAGTTTTATTAGCAGTGACATAGCCATAGCATCTGTGTACGCAAAATACAAAGAATCATGGTAGCTGTGGACATGCATTAGTAGATTCAGGATTAGATAGAGTTAGATTTGCACAGAGGCAAACCATCAAATGCCTAATAAGTAACATCAAGATAGTGATGTGATGAAGGAAGATGTGAGAGTCATGTCTACAAGTGTCCTGGAGATTATATCCTTTTGGTGGCCATTGAGCTTGTGTAAAGATACCAAAGCTGTCATTGAAGATTATCAAATTGGACCAATATTCACTTCATGACTCTGAACACTCCCAGAGCTTTGTGACTACCTAGGTACTTTGCTGCCTCACGCCACGTTTGATCACAAGTACCTAAGCTCAATTGATAATTGGGTAGCTACCTAACCCCAATCTAACTAGGGTGAATTGAACGCAATGCCTGATTCTAGTACCCCTCACCTTTTGATCTTTATCTTTCCTTCTTCTTCCCACAACACTTTCCATTCTTTATTATTTCTTTCTCTTCAACAACTCTACCACCACCTCAACCTTTCTACAAATCTCCAATCAATACTACTTACTCGATTTTCTCTTCAATAATCAAATCACAAACAAATACTTTACAAGATGGTAAGTAAAAAGTTATTCCACATTTCAATCCTAACGTAGAGCTCAACTTGCGACCTTCCCTTGCTACTGCGCACAATGCTAACGTATTTAACAAACAGTACCAAATCCCAGAACCAGGACCTCCCTCTCCACTCTATGGTACTCCTCAGTCTAGAGCTAGCTTGAAGTATGATAAACCCCAATACTTATACATACTAGCGCACCTTCTTACAATACTAGGATCAAGTCGCATTCTTTTGATGATAGCCTGATTACGTATGGCAATGAGGATGGGTATGTACTTTGAATCTTTCAAAAGCATTTTTCTTTTCTCAAAACAACTTTTTTTAAAGACAATAGCTGGACATTGTTGAAAGCTCTTGTGGTTTTCTCAAACCCCTTTTGCCTTCAATTTCATCATTGATTGGTCCATAGCCGAACTCGACGCGAGTTTTTTGATTAGTGTCAAATTTTCAACTATTTCCTTTGTAGACCGCCTTGGTTTATTATTCTGCCTTCTGTTCATCCCAAGTTCATTTTATTCAACGTCAAATGTACTAGTTCTACTTTGATGACATATGGTACTACAAGATTTTTGTCACACGGGAGTAGTTTCCTTGATATGCTCATCGCTGCGCCATCAATGAGGCCATTTTGAGCAACACTCGTCTCATCTCGTCAACAGCATTGATTGAGAGGGCTTCCACAGATACATATCATTTATTTACATACATTGGAAATAGTTTCCAAACATTCCCATAAATCACTCATGCTTCCATAGACATATAACACTTGTTCATATGAGAATGATATCCCAAATGCCCAGTGAGCATTCCGTAGCTGTCATAGAAATTCCAATACTTGATGAACATAAATGGAGCAACACATAAAGCTGCAGTCGCACGTTTTTGATTTGTTGCTTTGTCATGGCGATGAATGTTCCCCCGCACTTCATCTCCCGATATCATTGTTATTCGTTGTCGTGAATTCACTGGTTCCCTTGGAGACCAAGAGAATCCTAGCATTGGTAGGGTGGCTTCTCCCTTTAATTTCACTCCTGGATTCATGGCTCCATTTTTCTTCACTTTCAAAATTCATATTATTTCTTCCACTTCAAAGAAAAACTTTTCAGCTAGTGGGACCCCTCCAAACAATATCCCCACCAACCTCGATTACTTTTTTTATCATCCTCCGTTCCGCGCACTCAAGTTCTTCTACCTTCCTTTTTCCTACAGCAGCAGAGACAAGTCAAATCTCTTTGCGCCTCACACTTTCTCAATTCTTCTAGGGCTCGCGCTCTGTTCCTTTAAACTATACATTCAACTACTATTACTATTATTCATAATCGATAACTACTATCACTAATAATGTCGCTCGTACCTGCTAGATCGCGACCTTCTCGCAAGTCGGGCGAAGCAGACCTTCGGGCCTCGATGAACCGTTCCGAGTCCATGGATCCCACGACTTCGCAGTTCGTTTCTTCTCAGCCTGCAAATCATAACAAGAGAGGAAGTATCTCGGGCAGCTCAGTCTCCCTTACCAGCCCACCGCCACCTCGAGGACATAGAGCAGAGGTCTTTGATAACCGCAATCGATCGCAAAGTCTTCAGGACTGGATGGAATCCCGAATCACACAGATCATCCGAACCGTTCGCGATACTACTTCAATCCCGCAATCAGTACAAGATAACATCGGTGCTGAGCTTCAAAAGTTTCTCGTCGATTTCGCAGCCCAACAAGTTTTCGTCACTCAAAGCGTCGAATTTTACCAGACCAAGCTCCGAGACCTCGAGTCCCAGCTTCAGGAAGCTTACAGTGAGTCCGGTGATGAATCTGGCGAGCCAAGCAAACGCGAATTACTTGCCATCATTGCCTCCCAACGCGAGGAGTTACAGTTGAAGGAAAACCAGTTGAACGGAAAGAGAATCCTTTGGCTTGCTTCCCACCCACCTGCGTCTCAGCAAAGAGGTGACCCAAATCCACTCGGCCTCCCAAGCCTCAACGGACGATCACAATCACAACTCCGATTGGAAGCCCCATCATCCTATAGCAACTCACGCTCCGGTTACCGTGGTAATGGTTCAACATCGATGGCACGCCTATCAAGAGCTTCGCTTGCCGCTATGGAAAGCGCCGCTGTTGGAGGTCAAGCATCCCCCACACAAGAGGAGTATAACCGCGTAAAGGCATCCGTGTCCGTTGCAGTTCCTGATAGTGCTTTGGAGAACGTCCAGTCCATCTCAAACTTAAGAAACAATCTTAACAGTGAGACCGAGACCGTTATCAATCACCATCGCTCCCAACTTCCACTTGTTCCATACAGAGAACCAGCTGCGCACATTCCCAGTGTTCACGAGCTCAGTGTCGCCTTCGCAAAAGATTTCAGTGAAATTTTTGCACTGGCCGAAGGATGGGCTCGCACATATTGTTGCATTCCTAACATTCAAGAAGATCGCGCAATTGCTAGCTCCAATCAAGCTCTCTGGAATTACATGACCAAGCTTACATACAATGATCCTCAGAGTGCGCATAGCCATGTCATGGCTCTTTTGAGCAGCGAGAATACTCGATTCTGGTTTGTCATGAGAATGGCGATGAGTTACTGTTTCGATAATATCATGAGCCTCAAGACTTTCGAGCAATACAATAACAGCGTTGCTGCACATCTTGCAAGCATCAGAGAGCAAATTTCAGCTAGACCATGTGAGTACTATCGATTTCATGCTGCAATGTTACAAATACTAATACAAACTACCAGTGGCTTCTGTAGAGAAGCGTCAAAAGCTTGTCGCTGAGCAATCCGCCGTTGTCAAGTCCGTGATCAACGCTCCCGATTTCGCGAAATTTCGAAATGATGCGCTCACCAATCACACGAAGCATCTTCGAGACATTCTCGGACCTCTCATGAATGAGGGAACCTCCAAGTCAAAGGCTGGTACCGATCTTGGTGCGATCATCATCGCTTCCATGGATCTTTCCTGCAGAATGTGGACTGCAAAGTTGAGCTTCCAGGTCATATTTCCCGAGCTTCTGGGCAACAAGTTCACAGCCGGCACCATGATCGCCAAGGACCATCCAAGAGATAATCCATACCAGCTGCAGACGAAGCAGAAGCGCCTCAAGCTTGTCATGACCCCATCTATCACAATGCGCGATGACAATTCGATCACCATCATCGCAAAGAGCTTGCACAAGGCAAGTGTTCTTCTTATGACTTAAATAGTCTTCGTACAGTCCCACGCACAAATTTCTCGCAAATAGATCGTCATCATTTTCAACTTCCGTCATTTTGGTCCAAACTGATGAGCCACTGTCAACATCATCTATTCAGAGTATTTCAATAGCGTACAATACTACCCCTCATCATCATCGACTTGTTCTTTCCTACGAAAGTTTATCTTTCCTGCTTTTCTCTTGTCATCTCTTGGGATTTGCATGACTCTTGTGGGAAATTCATATTACGACTACACTCTCGACTCTCACTTCCCCAAGGTATCTCAGGAGATCCTTCGGTTTACGATCACCTTACTCTTCTCGTTTTCGACCCCAAATATCCACTCACCTACGTCCCTCCCCAAAAAGTTTTCATCCCGTCTTTTATTTTCCTAGGACACGCTATTATTCCACCTTCAATTCTTTCATCCGGCGTTCAACATATCTACCCCACCTATTATCGAAGCACCCACGTCTCTTCTCTCATCCGACAGACAATCCCGCAACCTTCGATCTGTACAACAGTTTCCTTTCAACGCCTTCACATTACCAATTTCTCGCGCGCGCATTCTCGATTGGGAAATCCAAACTTGGCGGCTCGATGGTTCACTTTTCCTCTGGATCCGATGTTTTCCTCCTTCATTCTCGATGCGGCGTTTCGATTTCCAACGGATGAGAATTTGATGATTTATTGATTTGTCTTTACTCTCGACACTTCAAACCTCAAACTTCGAACTTCTATTCTCATCAACAGCAATAATCTGGAAATAAAACACACATCCGGATCCCAACGACGATATTCATCCCTACTTCTCGATCACCACATATTTCTTCTCTCCTGGGAATGAATGAAACACCAAACAAACCTCCTCTTTCGAATCTCCTGCTTTCCAATCTGATGACCTCTGCTCGTACTCTACACACGCGGAAAGCATTTCAGATGCGGTGATGGAAAACATGAATTCTCGAACTAGGTAGTTTCGATCCATCCATTCATTCCTATCCCGTAATCTACTTGAGTATATTACCGGAAAGGAGCAGGAATTATCTCGATCTTTTAGTATTCCACGAAAATTCTCTCTTTCCCTCTTTTCTTTTCTTATTTTTCCTTTTCTCTAATGAACGAATGAATGAACCATAGCGCAAATCATTCAAACCACATACCCATCTCCATCTGCTTGCACGAAAAACCACACCCTCGAAAAAGTTTCATGAAATTCTCTTCTTCTCTTCTTTTTCTGCTGTGGGACTGCGAATTCTGGGTTCTGGTATGTCTTTTCCTCTACATCGCGTTTCTTCCGCGTCGACAAAGTTTGGAGCTCGTTTGGATGCTTTTCTGAATAGGCTTGGGGGTAGAGAAGACTGCGGAATATGGAATGGATGCCATGGCATGCCATGGCTTAGATAGATAGATAGGAAGCAGATTTGCAGAAATTCAGTGAACTTTTTATTTAATTTTATGGTTTTGTTTGGTGTTGTGTATGCGATGTGATATAATGTGATATAATGTGAGTGATATAATGTGATATATTGTGCAGTGCTATGCATATACTCGGATGTCTTAATGATTTTATATATAAAAATAACTGCGCTATGGATATCACTCAAAGAGTATAAAGAATCATCAAGCATAACCAACATCCCGCACCAATGCATCTCCAAGGCTCTCTTAAACCCATCCTACTTATTCATCTATCTCTGCATTTATCACCCGCTGATTCCTAACTCTATCTCAAATATTGTAAGCAGTGAATCTACAATCAAAACCACAACCACTATTACAAACCCTACACATCTCTCCTTCTTCCTTCTTTTTCCCTCCAGCGTTGCTCATTCCATCTCCGCTCGCCCATATCAAATCCTAGTACGCATACTACTCCCCTTTTCTATATTCCCCTCTCTTTCTATCCCCTACCATCTACTACAACTCAAAAGTAGGTACAACATATCCCCCCGCTATCTTGAATATTAGGTCTAGAATTATCCACTTACATGCCACAAGCCACATATCACACCAAAAAAGCTCGCAAGTCAGTAAGTAAGTGAATAAATACACACACATACACGTATACACACAAAAGAATAAATACACAATAAATGTAAAGATTACTCATTAAGGATTAAAAAATACCCATATCGACCTCTCTAATAAGAAACCAGATGACGATCCCAACCACCACGATATTCTCGAGTGATTCCACAAGTTTTCCTTTACCATAACGCCCTTAAGCCCCGCCCAATATCATAAAAGAGACACACACACGTGTGTATGCTAACCCATCCCATGCGCGCAAGAAAGTGAAGCTATGTGAGGAAATAGATAAAATATACAGAGAAGCGAAGAGATGAGTTAAATACTGTGGGGCAGCCAAGTTAACGAACCAAGCATGAAGAAACAAGAGTAAGAAAAGAAAAGAAAACCATTAGTTCCTAGGGATTTCTCCACTCGCAGGTTTATGATCAAGTCTCTTGATAATCGCACCCAACACCGCCTTGACGATTCCATCTCCCGTCAATCCCGCTTCGGTATCTCTTCCATTCCACGTAACAGTATCAACCATATCTCTAATCTTATATCGATGCTCCAACGCATCATCCAGATCCTCCAGGGCTTGTTTGGCCTCTGCCACTTTTCCAACCTGGAAAAATTGAATGCCCACTTGGGTGAGCGGTGCATCGAGATCATCGAGCTCGCGGGCTACTTTGACGATTTCCGATTCCGGGTCGTCGGAAGCAGCGCCGTCGGTGATGACGATGAGATTTAATGGTTTGACTTCTCGTCCTGCTTTAAGTTCCTTCTTGGCGCGCTTCATGTAGGGGGAGAGGATGTCTCGGATGCGTTTGCCGGTGGGGGTTATGCCTTGGGGTTTGTCTACTATCGACCATACTTCTTCTACTGATGCTGCGTTTTGGATGTTGTAGTATCCGGTACCAGCGACGCCTTCACTTTCATTACCCTTGTGTTTACTTTTGTGGTTCATGAAGTAAACGTCGATTCCATCAGCATCGTAGGAAGTGATGATTGGTGCTATAGTTTGAAGGGCGAAGAAAACTTGTTCCCAAGCCGTAGGGTGAGTGTACCATCCCATACTAGTAGAATCATCGATGAGAAGGACTGTATCAAATGTAGATAGAAGAGCATACGGTGACCCATCGAGATCATGTTGTGGGATAGTTCCCGCAGTATTTGGAACTGTAGAGGAGTGGCGTGATGCGAAAGTGTTGCTGCTATAGAATGTAGAAGCATTTGTGTATGCTGTGGAAGCGTTACTGTAAGCCGCAGGAGCATGATTGTACGACGGAGATGTCTGGTTGTACGAAGTGGGTGATATTGGAGATGTAGAAGTATAAGCTGGTGGGGGAGCATTATCTGGAATTCCTCTTGGGAAGGATAATGGACTTTTGGATGGTGCGGTACTCTTTGAACGACCTAGCTTATCGCGGATACTACCCAACAAACCGCTCTTACGTTTGAGGTCACTGCCATGGTTTTGAGAATTAAAAGACATGATAAAGTTGTTGAACGTATCAAAGTTGTGTACCAGAATAGGAAGGTGGGGTGTAAAGTGTAAGATGTCGTAGATCGGAGATGGTAAGGCTGAAGATCTTTAGATTATAAAACGCATGTTTGAGTGTAACGTGATGATGACTTGTAACTGCTCTCCCTGTCCTGTCCTGTCCTGTCCTGTCCTATACTATGAGTGATGAATGTTTTTAATTGGTGCTCAGATTGGCTTGAATCGTGAATGTTGTGAATGTTATGAATTTATGAAAATGAAGTCAAAATTTCCAACTGGCCAGTAAGTACTTATTATATTCACAATAACATTCCTCAATCATTAGCGCTTTGTGTCTAGGTAATATTAGGATTAGACTTCAAATCTGCCCATGGCGAAGTAAAGTTTCTAATCAGTTCTAATACATTAATGAGATTAAATGATTTAAGTAATATTGTTAGTTACCCGACATCCGAACTTCATTGTAATATATTTGATGAACTTGTTTGATATACATGTGAGGAGAAATAAGATTTGTTTGAAATGAAAGTCGACAGTATGTTTGAGCTCGGGTGATATCATTGGTTCGATTAGCATCTTAGCGTTTGTAGAAAGGCGCAGTTTGACTTCGCCCAACCACAGTCCCAACCACAAGATTTCAACTCTTGTCACCATTTCTCAATAAGGCAACGTTAGTACAAGGCTGTGTACGCCTCCTAAATATGACCGAAGAATGTTTGTGCTGATGAACCGGTCCCAAGCACCCATCACTCACCTCCTTGTATTTCCCAAGCCGCTGGGGATATACCTATTCGCACGTTTTCCCCACGATATTAAACCATGAGGTAAATCAACCCAGATGATAACTACCGGGTGGCTTGGCATCAAAAATTCTTGCAATATAATGCAGGAACGTTGCAATATAATAAAGGGCTATAAGTTTTATTGCCACGATATAATGCACTGCGACTCCTTTAATCTAAGGCATTTCTCTTGACAGAAAGAACATGTATCCTTATGATCTTGTCTTGTGGATGAGTGTAGGATGATACATTCCTTTAGGAAGGTTGTGGTAAGATATTAGGCCCCGAAGGCTGCAAGCAAAATATTACACCAAGCCTCAATCTTTGATTTCAAGATGACAGCAAGGCGTCAATGGGCAAATCGGTTTGTTACTGGATGACTCGTCAATTTTTTTGTCAAAATACAGAGAGACTGACCTGAGTTATTATAGAGGCTCATCAGTGTCTTCCAAGGTTTCGGTAAGACTATTTGAATACATGTGGCTAGAGTGGCCGATGGTTCATGGATGTGGCACAAAATGTCAGACCAGTGTCACATTTCGATGAGTCAAATTGATGAGGCTCAATTTCTTCTCTGAGTCAAACCCGGTGACTGTTGTGTCTTTGCAGGACAAATTTTCGCAGACCAGAAGATTCTATTACCAAGAAGTGATGTGGGTTTGAAAACTTCCAGGCTGATGCCTTTTCTTGCGAAATATGGTGGCAAGGAAGTTTTGGAGTTTTCGTTTGGTTTCTTTGGGTACCTAACGAAGCTCGGAAGACTCAATAGGAATCTCAGGCCTCTAGAATTGCACCGATTTAGATGATGTAGGGGAACGAGAGGGGTAGAGGGGTAAAGATCCGGCGGCTATTGCAACATCAATTCTAAAGCGTTCTCCACTGCCAGGGGATTTTGCCGCCGAAGCAATGGATTGCGGGTGGCAAAATGCTGGCGGCAATTTTGTGATACGTTTTTAAGTTGGTGTGGGTGATCAGATCAGAGAATGGTCTTCATACATTGGGTAATGCAAGTAAGTCATGTACGATGGTTGTAAGGGTAAGTATTATAAAACACACCAAAAAGCGGCTGTGTTTTTCCTTATATACAAAGACTTTAATTAATCAAAATATTATACTTTTTGAAAATTAATATAACGAACTCTAATATACTAAAATATTATAAAGAAATATCTGAGTATATTAAATTATACTAAAATCTTATATATATTTTATTTACTATAATTATTATTTTGTAATATTCTTTTATAATTCTAAACAATTCTATTAAATAGTTTTTTAATATTATTTTCCAAGCTTTTTTAAAAATCTTTTTAAATATATTATAATTCATTTTATTAATAAAATAATAATTCTATATTTATTTTTTCATTCAATTTTATTTATTTTCAATAGAATTGAGATTAGAAGAAAAAAAAGGCCAATTCATTTTTTCAATCCCTTTTTTAAGAAAAGTTTGAATAATAGTTTCTATAGAATAATTTGGTATATTATTTTATATAAATATATAATCCAAATTCAACTTTATTCAATTATATAGATTTGATAAAATTTAGTATTAATAGAATTTTAATTTTTTTTTAAAAAATATATTTGGTTTTTTATTTGATTTGCCTAAAAAACAGTCTTAAAATATTTATTCAACTTTTTTATATTCTTTTTCTAATATATATATAGAATTAAGAATTTTATTCTTTTAATATGTAATATATATCTTTTTATATAATCTCATAATTACTTATATTTCATTTAATTATAAAATAGTATTTCATTATTTTTTAATTTAATAAATATAATCTAATACAAATTATAATCGAATTTATTAATTATTTTCTGATATAAAAGATTTTCGAAAAGTAATATAATATTTATATTCTATTTTATATAAAGTAGATCAAATAGTGAACTCCCCTACTTCTTTTCAAAATAATATAAAAGTAACTTTTTAATATAATATATACCTATTTGTTTTTGATTTATTTATAAATTGAATAAATTGATTAATTTAATCAATAATCAAAATAAGAAATCAATTAAAATGTTTCTAAGAAGTTACTTGTATTTTAATAATATAATAAATCTATTTATATATCAGATTTACTTTTTCTTTAAGAAAAAAAGATCGAATTTCTTTAAACTTTATATTAATATAATATAAAATGTATATTTTGATTTATTGATTTTTAATTATTTTTTTGATATTTAAATATATAAGATGATAGTAATATAGTAGATGGTAATGTAAATTTAATATTTAAGGATATCAATAATGAATTAAGTAATAATAGATTAACTTTTTTTATTTTAATCAATTTGAATATTATTCTTTTTTAATGTATTTATTATAAGAAAATATTAAAAACGATATTTCTTATAATAATTCCTAAAAGTATTTTCTAGAATTAATTCAAAACAGGTTTTTAAAAGTAATATTAAAACAAATAGAATAAACTAATTGAATCTATGTATTTCAATATCCCAGCTAAATATGAGTCAATTAGCGTTTTATACAATTTATCCATATAACCACTGTAGGGGTCGGAAGCTTTTTTTGTTTGTTTTCAATTCTGCAATGTACCTTAATGAATGGTGCGGTCTCAAGGTAAGGAAGAAGGGCACCTACGAATATAGTAAATATTCTGGAATCTTGCGGAGTAATAATATTGTATCATACTAGGTATACATAGCATAGGAATATCTTCTCCTTATTCGTTATCTAGACTACAGTGTAGCCTGTTTTGATGATCAATATACAGAGCTTTCTCTGAGACATTGGTATACTAGCAAAGATAGTACATGTTTCCCCCATATATCATTATCAGGTTATTACAGAATATATACAGATTACAGTCTCTTTGACATCAGGAAGGAATTAGGGGAGAGGCGTACTGGAAGGAGGTGATTTACTGAACGAAGCCGGGACGTTGCATGAGGATAGTGTATTGCACGGAAAAGGTACATTGATAGAATGTAACATAGCAAGAGGAATAGGATATTGACAGGATATGAGATGTTGAAAAGAGGGAGTATATTAAATGGGAATTCCGCATCTAAAAAGAGTTGATGCATCGACAGAAATGCTACATTGCGGATGTGACAGATTGAATAGAAGTGATTCGTCGTCTGGATATTCAACTTCTGACATACTGTATGCAGCTACACCTCAATCCATAGCCTGCGAGCCTGCCTCTTCAAGTAGCTGGAGTTCTCCAGAGTTCAGAGTTCAAACTCACCTCCTTCACTTTGGTTGCCCTTCACAACGAGATAATGTAGTGACACACACTACTTTTCATTATCATTATTGACTTGCCGATATAAAAATTCCTTATCATTTGATTGTGACGTGATAAGTATTTGGTGGGGCTTCCTTCACCCTTCTCAATTGCGACACTCACTGTGAATTGAATTTTACGATGAGATCAAAAAAGGTATCAACCAACCATCTTTGCTTCGGCATAGAGCGGAGCAATATTAAATACGAACGATATGATGCACCTTGATGCACCTTGATGCACCTATCAGATGTCGAGTTACGAAGTTACTATCAAGTCGAAAGTCCAAGTATCAAGATTTCCATCGTTTCGTGAACTTTCTTTCTGTCAAATGTGAGTGGAGATACTTTAATCAATCAATTAGTAAATCTGGGCAAAGGTAAAAAAAAGTTAGACTGAGCGACGTCATTGGGCGGGAAGGCGGTAGAAGACGGTAGAATAAGAGTGAAGACAGAAAAAAAAAAGGTTGGCTCGTTGGTTAGTGGCCCGGGTGGTTCTAATTATGAGGCTATGAGGCTATGAGGCTATAGATTATGGACGACTCCAGGGCTAGGTATGATGTGAGTCATGTGACATAACCTACCTTACCTAATACATCTATATCTATTGAGGGGCAATTGAGCCAAAAAAAAAAAAAAAAAAAAGATGGAATCATCAAAGAAATGGAATGAATTGAATGTATGGTCAATATTCAAATTCAAATGCTGAGGTAAGGTACATCAACAACCACCACCACCACCATGTAAAATATATCCCATGTAAATAAATGATATCATCCTATTCCATCGATAATTATGTTCATATGTATGTAATTAAATATTAAAAATTCAATATGGTAATCATTCAAATCCATCACATCTAGAGGATTCTTTCCATCTCCATTACAAAGTACGAAGAAGGTGATGGTGAATTCTAGAGCTTCCCACCGCCTTCTCCTTTCGTCCATATCCACCGGTTTAAGGCAAAGAAGATTCCAGAATCGAAGCTGCTGGAATCGAACTTTTCGCTTTAAAAGTCTCACAGTCAACCCAACTTTTTCATTCTGCATATTTCTCAAACAAACCTTTTTAAGATACCACTTTTGCAAACGACTCTTCTTCTCTTTTTTCACATACAAAAGCGACCAAAGAAGTTACGATACTTCGACTATTTAAATTCACATAAACACACACAACCAGATTAATACAACATGGCTCCAGCGTAAGTTACCATTCCATGTCCATCAACCCCTCCTTCAGCCTTACACGTCTAGTTCCTAGTTGGAAGCTTGGAGGTCAACGACATCAACCACCACAAACAGATTTACTAACATGTCTTGTAGTATTGGTATCGATTTGGGAACTACCTACTCTTGTGTAGGTATCTTCCGTGACGACAGAATCGAAATTATCGCCAACGACCAAGGAAACCGTACCACTCCTTCCTTCGTTGCTTTCACAGATACCGAGCGTCTGATCGGAGATGCCGCCAAGAACCAAGTCGCCATGAACCCAATCAACACTGTCTTCGATGCTAAGCGTTTGATTGGTCGTAAGTTCGCAGACTCTGAGGTTCAAGCCGATATGAAGCACTTCCCATTCAAGGTCATTGACCGTGCCGGAAAGCCAGTTATCGAGGTTGAGTTCAAGGGAGAGAACAAGCAATTCACACCAGAAGAAATCTCTTCTATGATCTTGGTCAAGATGAGGGAGACTGCTGAGGCTTACCTCGGAGGAACTGTCAACAACGCTGTCGTCACTGTTCCAGCCTACTTCACCGATTCTCAACGTCAAGCCACCAAGGACGCTGGTCTCATTGCTGGTCTTAACGTTCTCCGTATCATCAACGAACCTACCGCTGCTGCCATTGCTTACGGTTTGGACAAGAAGATTGAGGGTGAACGTAACGTTCTCATCTTCGATCTTGGTGGAGGAACCTTCGATGTTTCTCTTTTGACCATTGAGGAGGGTATCTTCGAGGTCAAGTCCACCGCTGGTGACACTCACTTGGGTGGTGAGGACTTCGACAACCGTCTTGTTAACCACTTTGTTAATGAATTCAAACGAAAGCACAAAAGTAGTTTTTCCCCTTTCTTTCACTGTTTTCTTCCCCGCCCCCCCCCCCTTTCACCCTCCCCCTATTCAGTACTTTCAATTGTCGAAAATAGTTGAGACATTGAGTAGTATGCTGGGGCGGCAATCACATTGCAATACTTTCAATTGTCAAGATTCTTTGAGACATTGAGTAGTATGCTCAGGCATCACTCACATTTGTAATGTTTTCAATTGTTGAGATTTTTTGAGACATTGAAATACTGGATATCACCAAGTCACTTTTTTTTCACATTCTTCATTTACAATATGCTAACATACTATTTTACAGAGGATCTTTCTTCCAACGCTCGTGCCCTCCGTCGTCTCCGAACTGCTTGCGAACGTGCTAAGCGTACTCTTTCTTCATCCGCACAAACCTCCATCGAAATTGACTCTCTCTTCGAGGGTATCGATTTCTACACCTCCATCACCCGTGCTCGTTTCGAGGAACTCTGCCAGGACCTCTTCCGTTCCACCACCACCCCAGTCGACCGTGTCCTCGCTGATGCTAAGATCGACAAATCCAGAGTCCACGAGATTGTCCTTGTCGGTGGTTCTACCCGTATCCCACGTATCCAAAAGCTCATTACCGACTACTTCAACGGTAAGGAGCCAAACAAGTCCATCAACCCTGATGAGGCTGTTGCATACGGTGCTGCTGTTCAAGCTGCCATTCTCTCTGGTGACACTTCTTCCAAGTCCACCAACGAGATTCTCCTTCTCGATGTCGCGCCATTGTCTCTCGGTATTGAGACTGCTGGTGGACAAATGACCAAGCTCATTCCAAGAAACACCACCATCCCAACCAAGAAGTCTGAGGTCTTCTCTACCTTCTCTGACAACCAACCTGGTGTCCTCATCCAAGTCTTCGAGGGTGAGCGTCAACGCACCAAGGACAACAACCTTTTGGGTAAATTCGAGCTCACTGGTATCCCACCTGCACCACGTGGTGTTCCTCAAATTGAGGTCACCTTCGATCTTGATGCCAACGGAATCATGAACGTCTCTGCACTCGAGAAGGGAACCGGAAAGTCCAACAAGATTGTTATCACCAACGACAAGGGTCGCTTGTCCAAGGAGGATATCGAGCGCATGTTGGCTGAGGCTGAGAAGTACAAGGCTGAGGATGAGGCCGAAGCTGAGCGTGTTGCTGCCAAGAACGCTCTTGAGGGCAAGGCTTACCAAATCAGAAGCTCTTTGTCTGAGGCTGACCACGAGCTCTCCAAATCTATCCCAGACCCAGCTGCCAAGGCTGAGTTGCAAGCCAGCGTTGACAAGATCGTTGCCTGGGTTGACGAGAACCAACAAGCCACCAAGGAGGAGTACGCACAACAAGAGGCTGACCTTGAGGCAGCCATCAAGAAGGCAACTGCTGGTGGAGCTGGTGGTGCCGGTGGTGAACCAGCTCAAGATGCTGAGATCGAGGAGGTCGACTAAATGTTTTCTTTTTTTATCCTGACGAATTTCCTTTACTCTGCATATGATAATACCTCCACACACGATGGTTATTGGGTGTTTACTGGTTTTTTTCTATTGTGGTTAGATTTGCGGTTGTTTTCTACATCGGAAAAGCCGGTGTTCTCAATGTATTAAAGCTTTAAATAGGAGCATAAAATATAACATGATTAAATAATACTTGACTTGTCCCAAGATAAATTTGATGTGATGTGAGGATTAAACATACCTTGAGGAAGAGTTTTGTCTGGGTTTTTGTATAAGCTTATGGTTGTCGCATACCCTATCAGTCAACTTCCAACTTTCAGTTATCGCAAAGCTTTTCAAACAATAACTTGACCACTTCTAATTTCTTACACATATACCTACCTACCTTACTCGTTTTCTTTCTCTTCTTCTTAAGTCTTTTCCAATCGAGTTCTTTCTCTTTTAAGTCAATGGTCAACGAAATAATTGATCTGTGATTGTCTGGTCAGCTTTTGAAGAATGGATTGTTCATGTATCTTTTTCTCAAGATTTTCTTGGGATGTCCTTTGATGTGTTTGTTGTACGAGTATTTAGATGTTTTTTTGAGCTGGGAAATTGGATTTTATATCTCCTTTACTTTCCCTCTTCTACATCTCATACTATTTGAATAGTCCTTCCTTTCTCCTTCTTTTATTATTGTTTCTTGTTTACTTTCTCTTTTCTACTCTTTACTTTCCCCTTCTTACTATTCTTCTTTTCTTCCTCTCTTTCCTTCTAATACGTTCCCCCTCTTCCCCCCTCTTACATCTCCTCTCACTCCTCTTTTTATTTCTTTTCTTTTGATTCCCTTTTCTTCTCTCATTTCCCTTTATCTCACTACCCCTTATCCCATACATACCCCTCTTTCTCATCCTCTTCTCTTCTTCTTCTCCTCTCCTATACCATCTTTCACTTTCGCTTCTTTCTACCCCTCACCTTTCCCCTCACTACCCCACTAGCCCTCCCCTCCTCTCATTCCTTTTTTTTGGAATACTTCCTCCCGCCCTCTTTCCTTGCCCTACTCTTTTTTCTCTTCTTCTTCGCTTACTTTCCTGCTCTACCCCTCTTCTCACTAGCCTTCTCCTATCACTCTTTCCCTCTCCTATCCTTCTATCACATTCCCCTCATACCCCACGATTAGTTATTCTCCTACCCCTTCTACCCCTCACTACTTCCCTTTTAATTTCTTTTCTTTCACTACCCCTTCTTTCTTACTTTTCCCTTTCTACCCTTCCTCTTTTATCCCTTCTTTCCTGCCCTTCTATCACATTCCCCTCCTACCCCTCATCTCCTCTTTCATATCTCCTCTTACTACTTCTCTTTTTAAATCACCTCTTACTTTTCAATCTCTTCTTCATCTCTTTCTTGTCCTCTTTTACTTCTCCTCTTTTCAACCCCTCTTCCGCTTTCTCTCGCTTCCCTTATTTCACTATACTTATTCTATGCCCCTTCTCTCCTACGCCATTTTCACTTCCCTCTTTTTCTAACCCCAATTTCTGCCCCTCCTCCCCTATACAACCTTCCTCTTTCAAACACTCATCCCTCAACCAATCCATTCCCCTTATTTCCTTCTATTCACACTCTTCTCCTCCTCTATCCCCAACCACATCTCCATCTCCAATAATCCCCTTACCTTCCTCTCTCAAACACCCATCCCTCAACTATCCATTCTCCTTCAACCCCCAACCCTCCAATCTCTCATCTCACATCTCTCATCCCTCTTTCATCTCACTCACCTTCCACCTCACTATCTCACTCACCCACCCAACAAACCCAAATTACACCTTTTCCCGAATCTCCACTCTTTCACACACATATTCCCCTATCTCTATTACTCTCCTATTACACCCCCTATACTGAAACTCACATCTCTTCTCCTTCTCCTTCTTCTCCCTACACCCTTTCCATAATCATCAAAATCCCGATTTGGGTTTTAGGTCTTGTAAGAAAGAATTGGAATAAAGAGTAGAGTAAAAGAATTGATGCATGGGGATGTAGTATGTATATATATATATATAATGTATACATGTCTGCTTTTGGAAAGATGTCTGGGTTGGAATTTGGATAGGGGGTGCTGAAATATATTAGATATATATAAAATAAAACAGGATTTTAGAATAATAATTAAAGAAATTGGGAATGTGAGAAATAAAGAAATATAAAAATGGATTTGTGAGGGGAGAGGAATCGAGGGCTGGGATATTGTGTGTATGTGTGTGGAAAAGGTTTGGGATATCCTAATATATATATATAAATGTAATGTAAAAGGGAGATGGAGGATTGGTCATGCATGGGAAATGCAAAAAGGCGGTTGGAGGTGATGTTTGTGATTGTTTATTTATTATTGTTCAATAGGTAGATATTGGAGAAGTGAAAAATAAGAAAATGAAAACTTCTAACGCACCTACCTACCTACCCACCAGGTAATCCCCAGAAATCTTGGAGATGTTGTCCAACATATAATATCTACATATCATCCTAGCATTCACCACTCACCACTCGCTATTCACCAATTCCCAAATATCAATCATCTGTTCAGAAACCATAAAAGATACAAAACATACAAATGAATAAATACATTCATGTATCCACCCCCTATCCATCCCCTATATATCTCCTTCCCCTCCTCCTTCCCTCCTCCTTCCCTCCTCCTTCCCTTCTTCTTCCCTCCTCCTTCCTTCTTTTTCCTTTCTCCCTTTTCTTCTTTTTCTCTTCTTCTTCCTTCCTCCTTCCTTCCTTCTTCCCTCCTCCTTCCCTCTTTTCTATCTTCCCCATCTTCATCCCCTCCTCCCTCCCCCTTCCTCACAAAATCCAATCTTATACTCCCATCCACCCATCCACCCAGCTAAAAAACAAACAAACAAATCAACCGATCCCAATCTTCAATATACGATATCTGAGATTTTTCTACGAGGGCCAGGGAAGTGGATAATGAAATGGATATTTTCAACATTCGAAGTTAATTACAGACAGGTAGATAGATAGCGATATCCATTATAATATCTACTCTACTTTCTCTATCCTTCTACCTACATAGTTGAACTTTCCGAGTTGATATGTATCATCGGCGGATTGCTTTACTCCTCCTTCTCTTCTCTCTTCTCTCTTCTCTCTTCTCTCTTCTCTCTCTTCTCTTCTCTCTTCTCTCTTCTCTCTTCTCTCTTCTCTCTTCTCTCTTCTCTCTTCTCTCTCAGGTATACATAACACTTTCACGGATCAACTCACCATATATACTACCTGCCCCACACCTGAACACTCTGTAAATAACGGAACCTTCTGCTAGTAGATAGTGATTTGGGGGATCAGGTTTATTATGTGATTTAGGTCTGAGGTTGGGTTGAATGTGCGGGTGTGTGTGAATATGATATAAGTATGTTATGGTATTAAGCTAACAAAAAGTACATTTCAACAAGAGAGAATATTTATACACGATTTAAGATATTGTAGTTTAAGTTTGAATGTGGAATGAATGAGTGGAAAGAGATGAAACCGTGTGTGATGTGAATGATGAAGATGGGAGGGAATTGATATTGTTAGTAGGTATGTAAGATGTTCTTAATGTTTAGTATTTTGGTGTCTTGGTGTTACAGGAACAAAGGATTCGATTGTCTTTTGGTGAATGTGATCTTTATTTGCCTTTTGGTTGTTGTAGATGAATGATGAGAAGGGAGGAGAGTGGATCCGTGAAGTGATACCCAGCGTGGTGGTTTCATTTCCCACGATAAAGTGGAATGATGGAAAGCAATCAAGAAAAAGCCTTCTGGATAGAAAACGGCATGCGAATACTATATACTCATCTCCAAGAAGAATCCTGACACCTGGTATCCGAAATAAGTATTTCATTCTTCTTAGTCAAAGTAGACATTGAGAGATGATAGATACATATTTTTGCCTGGTTTTCGCAGTTTATACGAGGGGGGGAATAAGACTAATATCATCTTTATATCTTTCGATACAATGGTACTTCAAAGGCGAAGGCAAAGGTATGTATATCCTTGATGAGTCGAAAGATTAAGAAATATTGATATGCTTCCCAACAAACCCTTCGATGGAACCACGTGTGAAATAGATAAATTTCTTTTGAATAAAATGAGGTACTCGGAAACTTTTCTTTTCCCGTTAAATTTGGCTACTGAAACTGAAGGAACCATAGATGAACTGTTGATACAGCACGCTTAATATGTTTTCTGGCAAAGCATACGATATTATAGTAGAGGGAAAGGTGTAAGAAAGGTAGTGGAGGAAATATGTAAATCATGCGCGTCACACAGGAGTTAGCGACAATAGGACGAAAGGAGACGCTAAGACAAGTATGAAGATCTATTCAGAAATTCTTACACTGGAGGATATCTTTTTTTTCAAAAGAAATTAAATAGGTGTTGGTTGGGGACTTGTGTGCTTTGTTTTTCTGAATGAAAATGAGGTAGGAACTTGGGTGCTGGGACTTCGATGAATGACGACATGATCTCTATGTACTTGTTGATAAGAAAATCAATAGTTTTGATATCTTTTGGGGAGGGGGGGAGGGGGGGGGGTAAGTGGTAGGAAGGTGGGATGGGATATCTGAGAGCCCTTGGATTTTTTGGTAGATCAGGACATGAATGATTTGAGTTCAAGAAAGATGATAAGATGATAAGATCAATGTGCTCTCCCTCACCACCTGTTCAATGGTACAAGAGAAGAAGATTTTATCCATGTTTTGATCTTGGATGTAGATTGGGATATGGATATTATGGATTAGCATTTGAAAATCCCTCAGGTGGTTTGGGCTTCACCGGCTTCAGTAGTTGAATTCGATTTTCGACGAGGGAAAAGTGGACGATGTTGATATGTCACTCTTGTATCGATCGAGCCCACGTGCTCTGAGCTGAGTTGGAAAGGAAAATAAGTGAAAATAGGTGATAACACTTTGATTTCATTCTTTCTGGAGACCTGGGTAGAATTGGATGTTTGAAAGCTCTAAACATTGCATTGGA